GGCAAATATTGTTTCCACTTTCCATGTTTTGATGTAATTAGGTTAATCAACACTCTTCACCCTAATCGTAATGGTAAGTTTAAGAGAATTCCAAAACCCAATATCAAGACAGATATCTTTCAAAACAGAAAATTATGCAAATGTGTCGAAAGAAATTGAACAATAAGGTAAACTAAACACATGGCTCCAACATTCACACAGACATAACCCAATGATCGAAAAAACCATTAGAATGACACTGAAACAATCAAAACAATCAGAGAAGCATTATATTAATAAGTGTCGGAACCCATAACGTCAAAACCAACCAAAGGAAATGAAGAAACATTCATATTAGGAAGAACAAACATCATCAAATAGGCATAACAAACGAAATTCAATCTACAAGTCATTACACGAACATATCTCATCATAAATTCTGGAGAATAACATATGAATCTAGCAAAAGCAAACCCTAGATGCAGAATTTAAGAGAAAGAAAAGGAATAAACCAAATTTTAAGCCCAGACTTCACGGACTCAGTTGCATCATCATCCGCCACGGATTCGTTGGTTGGCTCAGTTTCTTTCCGGCAGTAGCTGGCGCAGGTCAAGCATGTTTTTGCTAATCTCTTTGGAATAACCTGAAGAAACACATATGGGAAAGGAAGATACCTCATTCGCCTTAGGCCACAATTATGAGACAGATCTTCTCCCTCGTCACGAGCAGCCATCACCCGCGTCAAGATCATTATCACTGCAATTTAATTTGTTAACCTTACTGCTTAAACCCATAACCAAAAGCTAATTCAATCCAAACAACTCAAATCTCAAACCTCTTTTTGAGTTGAATCTATCTATACTATAACACATAGCCAACACTCTATAACACATGGCTTTTCCTAGAACAAAAATATTCGAGTATAACCTCAATGCCAAGCCGAGTCACTCCTGCAACCTCCCTTGCAATCGACATAGTAACCTGATTAGATTAATAGGAAAACTCGATGAGACTTCTGGAGGAGGAAGTAGAGAACAAAGAAAACAGAAACGAGGAAGTTTCTTTTTGTGCATCACAAAACCTTTGGATCAATCTTCTACTCCTCGTCTCCAGCAAGAGCTTCTCCACTAACTTTGAGTAAAACCCTTCTCCATTTAAGCGGTGGTTTTGATGTTCCATCAAACGAAGGCATTCTAGGAAAAGATGACTGTTTAACCCACTGAAAATCAGAGAAGATTGAAATACAATTTAACAAAAGCAGCCACAGTTCGAGAGTTTATGATGGGTTTAAGATTTACTTCACCCAAAAAGAAAAAAAAAATCCGGACTTTGCAATATATTTTCATCCAATCCTAAACCATATAGCTAAAAGTATCTTCATTGACGAATTTTCACAAACACCTAGTGGGCGTAAGATTAATACCTCCCGTTCATAGACTCAGGAAGAAGAGCAGCCGATAAGTACACGCCGACTGAATTCTGATCAGAGAAGGAATAACGACGGGGAGGTGAGAGAGGGACGAAAGAGGTTCGTGAAGTATAAGAAGAATAAGCTGAGATGGGCGAGTAAGAAGTGAGGGGCAACAGAATCGCCATTCCCGGAGAAGAATTTGAGACGTCGCTGATGATTTACTGAGATGTTTAGTACAGAAGCGTCGTCGGCAAAGAAGAGGAGTTTGAGAACACGAATCGGCGTAAAAAAAAAATATATATATATGGACAGATGTCGAGCAACTAAGAGCCTACATGTCACTCTATTGAGAGGGCTGGCCATGTATTATAGTATAGATTTAGGGAACCATTACATTGAAAAAGTCGTGGTATAGTGGTTGGACATGGGACATTTAAGTCAAAGGTACCGGTTCAACGCCGCATGCTTCCTCTTTTGTGTTTTTTTTTAAATGTTTTTTAGTGGGCAAAAAAAATCATTTTGTTCGCTTTAACCCCATAGATCCTACGGGTCGGTCTGTTCATACCGTATATGTTTTGACGGTCTATAATTATGTTGTTTTCATCTTTTCACTTAATTTGTGATCTTTCTGGTTTGTTCTATTTTGATACTATTAAAGATCTGTTATCATTGGCATGTTTGTATCGTCGTATGCTAATTGATATGACATTCGTACGTTTGTCTACATTGTTTTAGTAATCTGTATTAGGTGTTTATCTTTTTTTTTTTTTAAACATGTATTAGTAGGTTTATGTTGAAAAATTAATGTGAATATGTAGGGATTTCTATTATAGCATATAACTTTAAATGAAATATTATGATTGGTTAATTTAAATGAGATGTCCCTTAAATTACTGTTTGAGCAACACATAAGATTTTATTTTTAGTATCTCTTCAATTAATATATAGAGGATGTTACTATTTATTTATTTTTATGATATTTAACTTTTAGCAAACCAAAATAACTATTGTGATTATAAAAGACACAGATTGAATAAAAAGTTACATACTAGTTGTCAATGGAATATAACCAAATCAAGATATTACATTCTTCTAAAATATATGTGCATATAGTAAATATACGATTTAAAACAAAAACGAATTTGTTTAAGAAAAAAATATTTAATTAGTATTCATCATACATAATAGATCAATTATCAACATTGTTGTAATTTATTAAATTGTAAATGATATTTAATAAAATAAAACAGAACTTAACATCCAATCCAAAACCAGAATTTAATATTCAATTTGAGTCGAACCAAATACATAATCAAAGCGAATCTAAACGGATAATTTTGCACTTTGGTAACTAAATTTGGGTCTTGA